CGGTTTTCGTGCAAAAATTATCGTGAAAATTTCATTTTTCAAAAAACACATTTAAAAAATATATACTTATAAGTTACATAAAGTAAATATTAAAAAAACAACTTAAAATTCTCCAGTTTTTATAGGTAATTCCTTCTTCTTCCTCAATTTTTATGTTTCTTTTTCGAATGGCCCTAAGTTTTCTTCTGCAGGTTTTGCTGTTGGCAGTGAGTGACGTTTTGAGTCTGCAATACGCTCATTATCGAAGATTTGTTGTCCCCGTATAGTATAATACCCCCGAAACAATACCCATTTCATTTAATATGGATATTAATCCCTGAAAGCCATTATTAAACTGCACAACAGCAATATATGCTCCTAAACGCAATGTTTGATGCTCAACGAAAACTTCTTTTGGTAATATCTGCCACAAAATTGCATTAAAACTTTCGTTCGGATTCTGAGTTTTTCCGTGTAAACATTTTTTAAGATTTCTGTCACACAAATCCATATAAACAGGCTTTATCGTGTTAACAATATTTTGTGGCAGACCCAAAGATTTATCCTGGTACACAATATTTGAAGCTTTAGCCCGTTGAAATTTACACCAACTTTCATCTCCGACAGGGCACTGTCCATGTTTTGGCTGATGTTTTGATGAGCAACAATGAAAAAAGGCAGCAATAACAGCAGACTGCATTTTTTCAAATTCCCAATATTGCTTCGAATAGCAATCCCATAGTAATTTTGTAACTTATTAATTAAACCATCAGTTAATTTACCTTTCCCCGAGTCCTTTATTTCTTTTTCAATTTTCGAAGCCTTGTTCCAACTCTTTTTTTTTTGAATATATGCCCTATACATTCTAGCTTCGTAACAGAATCTTTCCCGTAAATGTCCTTCACGGCATCAAAAGCTTTGGAATCCCCATCCCCATAATAGTCAGTGTATCGTAACATTCTATGATCTTCTGACCTCTCAAAAATACGATAAGCCCCAACCGGTTCCATGCTGGAGGAAGATCCTTTATGATGATTATACTGCAATTTCACATTTGTTTGTTTCGTCTTTGAATTACATTTTCTACAAAACTGAGATAAAGTTTCAAAGTCAATAATTTTCCCAGTATCAACAGATATTGCACTAACACAACCATTTAGCGAAGAAAAACCACGACCCTGCCAGGTACCATCCACCGAAACACCACAATTTACAATATCATGTATAGATTTTTAAATTGCCTAATACCTTTGCTGCGTCATTCATTATTTTTCTCCAATGGAAATAGCAGCACTGAGGAGTTTTTCTTGTTGGCGGAATGCAAGCTTTGAGAGAAAGGGAGGTAGATTCAAAACAGCACAAAAAGTTTTCTTCCTGCTAAAACACCTCTACCAATCAATCTTAATCCATAAACAAAACGAGAATTAAGTTCATTCATTTTGTCTAACCTTTTAGAAGTACAAAATGCCGATATGAAACTGCAATTTTGCAGTGCAAAGAAAGTTTGAAGATAATCCAAACCTTGAATCTTCTACAAGATAAAAAGGCTTCCTGCTGTACACATTTTTGTTGGGCAACACAATAAGGAAAAAAATACCAATTAAAATTTCCAGATCAATCAATCTGTTTCCAGTTAAACGTTCTGAAATGTTACTTACCTCATTACTTACCTCATTGCATTGCTGCAGCTTCAGTGAACTGGCGGTCATAATTTCTTCATTAGATGAAGCAGTTTCAGTGCTTGTATTTTGGTTTCCGTGAAACTTTCATTTACAGGGACGATATGAGCGACATTTACCCATGATTTCAGGTAAAATAAATTAAAGATTAAATTAAAATAATTTAATATTTAGTAATAATAGTAATAATAATAGTAATTTTCTAAAAATAAAGCAAAATAGAGAAAAAAAAAAGAATTAAAATAGGCGTGGTAAATCTAACGTCGAATGTAAACAAACACGAAATAGCGATAGTCTTAAAATGCCGTTGCCAATCGTTTGCAACAAAAATTATTTGAAATAATTATTAGCAAACTGTGGCTTAGTAAGCAGATAATTAAAATTTGGTTTTGAAACTTCATTTTAGGGAAATAATAATTAAACACTGCATATGTAGCTCACTTCCGGTCCAGATTACATTACTTCCGGTTTCGTTTTCAACTACTATGACTTATTTAAATTGCTATAATTAGAGTTCTAATTTACGTAAAATTAAAATAAAGACTGTTTTGGAATCTTAAAGGCTGGGGCTTGATTTTACAATCATAAAAAAAAATTCGACCTTTTTGTCAAAAAACACTTTTTCAACCTAGTCGGATACCTTAAAGTAATTAAGTTCTTTTTTTTTACTTTTACTATAATGCTATATTAAAAACGTAAAACACAGTTTTTTTCTCTTAATCCGTAATTTTAAACCAATTTCTTCAATTCTTGTGCAGAAATTGGATAATATTATTCTTCACACGAATGAAAAATCTGCGCAATTATATTTAAAAATGACGAAGTTTTTAAATGTTTATTAAAAATTTGAGTATTTCTTGAAAAATCTTTTAAAAAAATTAGGCATTTTATTTTTTAAATAACTGATTTTTAAAGAGAAAATCCTGAACTTTCTTAATGCAGAATATCCATTCCAAAACACACACAAAAAAAGAAAAATTCATACGGAATAATTTAGAAATCATTTTCATGAAAACGCATCGAAAAATTATACCGTATCATGGAAAAATAAAAAAATCTTTCTAATTAGGTAATTAGTTTTTTTTTGGTCTCAGATTAATAGAAAGAATAAGATATTCTTTTAAAAAAGTTCGAAAAAAATCGGAACTTTTTGGAGCTCAATCTGATAAGCTGCTCGGCAGAGTAAAAAGCTAGCAGGGATAAAAGTTTTTCAATTAATATCTTTTTTAATTAATTGCGATATCGGAATATAAATCATCAAATCATGCATTGTCATCCAAACTAAAGGTGTATACAAAATTTCGGCTCAATCGGTTGAAGACATCAGCTTCAAAATTGAGTTGGAAGATTCCACCCGAAAAAATTACTTTAATTAATATCTACACCATAAAAATTCGAAGGTAAACAAACGTAGGCGACTATACGACAAATTGTATCTTCTCACGAACCGCACGCCACATAAACTCGTTGAAGGTACCAAAGTGTGGGAATCATCCAAGGAATCCGTTTTGAAAATTTATATTCCGATAGTGCAATTAGATGAAAAGACGAAGATTAGAAACGCATAATTATTGCCATTTTCCCCGCCACAGGCAGTGAATTTCCAATTTTCCCATCTTTTTTTTTATCCCAGACGTTTTTAAAACACGATCTAATTTTTTTATGATACTCAGACAAAAATAATTACAGAATCGGAAAGGCCATTTACTTCGCCACGATACGGTATAATTTATTTTACAAAATAATGATATTTTCTATTTTTACAAATTTTTCTAAAATGAGTCAAAATGGATACGTCTTTATGAAAATGATTTCTAAATCGTTCCGAATGCATTTACTTTCAAGTGAATAAAATGATATTCTACACGAATAAAGTTCATGCATTTTTATTTTAGAATCATTCACTTAAAAATAAAATGTCAAAAGCTTTTTTTTTATGATTTTTCAAAAAATACTCAAATTTTCTTTAAATAATATTTTTTTTATTTATAAAAATAAACTCATGAAACTTTTTTCCCCGTGTAGAACAATATTTTCCGTAATATATACAAAGATAGAAACAATTGCTTAAAAATTACGGTTTAAAAAAATGTTTTTTTCGTTTTTTCCCTTTTTGCGAAAAATATTTAAGTATTATTTTCTTACATTTTTTTTTGTTTAAAAATCACCATTGTTTGTAATCGATATATGAAATTTTAAGGTATTAACTTAAAAATGAAGCCCGAAAAAAAGTTTAACTTTAACAAATAACGTATTCCGCAATTAAATATCTTTCTTTTACTTTACAGGTCTTTTATTTAATTTTTGTCGAAGATTTCGTGGATCGGTCGCTTAGATCGCTGGATTAATAACTTTTGTACCCGGGTTCGAAACAACATCATCTCTAAGTATTTATGATTTTTTTTTAAAAAAACGTCAAAATTTTATTCTTGGATTTAATAACTTCGCCAGCAATTTTGTAATTGGAAAGAAAATTTATGTCGTCACAATGTAGTATTTTTTTAAATTTTTTTTTTACGAAACAAGAATACTATACATATTTTATGATTTTTTCCATAATGAATCAATATCGATGAGTTTATATGAAAATAATTTTTAAAAAACTCATAGTTTGATCTTTTACAGTTAGTGATTTAAAAAAAATGTCGAAAACTTTGTTTTACTTTTCTTTTTCTGCAACAATTAATTACTTTTTCTGCCACTAGATGACTGCATCTGTCAAGCTGTTTAAGAATCGGTGTATGTTCACTTACTTGAGAGCTCTGATAGTGAGAGAGGAAGGGGAATTTCCATGACAATATGTTTTGCATTAAAAAATGTTCGTGCAACGCCGGGTAGGGGGGAAATAAACCTGTCTGACAAAGAAAAGAAGCGAAAAAATTTCGAAAAAAAACAACTTAAGTTAAACACTCGGTAAAAGCCCGAGCAACTTTGGTCTAAGTGGAGTAGGGGATGAAAGTAATTTTATAAGAGAGTTTTAGAAGTGCTGATTTTGTGAAAGAAAGGGAAAATTTATAAAAGTAGAGTAAGCCCGTTCAACGCCGGGCCGTGCTGCTATTATTTTTAACTAATTGCGATAGCGGAATATAAATGTTCCAAACAAGCATTGCATCCAAACTAAAAGCATATATAAAATTTCAGCTCAATCAATTCAAGACATCAGTTTCAAAGTTGAGTTGCACGATTCCACCCGAACAAATTACATTGCAAGTTAAATAAAAACTTGTGTGTGTGTGTAAAATATAACATACTTTGTGCGCATAAAAAGTAGAAATTTTGTAAAATATCTCGTTGCACAAATCAAATGAGTTTCAAATATATTTTACAAGAAAAAATAGTAATTGGAGGCACAGGCATCTATCCGTGTTTCTCTCGCATGCAAAGCGAGCGCTTTACCATCTGAGCTACGCTCCCAGTCGACACCTGCGTTATTGTAAACATGCTCGCCTTAATACCTAAGCAAGATCGTTACAGTAACTAGGTCAATTAAAAGTGTCACTGGAGAAACTAGAGTCGAGTAAATAGATATCATAGAACGTTTCAACGTAAATATAAGTAGTTTAATAGATCTATCTTTATTATTGTTCCCTGTAGAACAGTAAAAATATAACATACTTTGTACGTATGCAGAGTGGAAGCATTGTAAAATATCTCTTTGTACAAACCAAATGAATTTCAAAAATATTTTACGCGAAAATATAATAATTGGAAGCGTGGGGTATTGATCCACGTACCTTTCGCATGCTAAAACGAGCGCTCTACCATCTGAGCTACACCCCCGGTCCACACCTTTGTTAGTGTAAACATGCTCGCCTTAACACCTGACCAATATCGTTACAGTAACTAGGTCGATATCGGAGTATAAATCATCAAAACATGCATTGTCATCCAAACTAAACATGTATACAAAATTTCAGCTCAATCAGTTAAAAACAACAGCTTCAAAATTGACATGCAAGATATATTCCACACGAACAAATTACTTTAGTTAATATCTTTTTAACTAACTGCGATCTTGGAATATAAATGGTAAAAACATACATTGTCTTCCAAACTAAACGTTTATATAAAATTTCAGCTCAATCGGTTGAAGACATTAGCTTCAAAATTGAGTTGAAAGATTCCACACGAACATTGGACATTGCAAGTTAAATAAAAACATGTGTAAAAAATGACCCTTTCAATGGTACTTTCATTTTCAGCCACAAATCACAAAAAAACTAGATTCAGCGTTGATAGGGTCCAGTAGGTCCTGTGCAAATTCAATATGGAGTTTTTCTGTTACATCGACAAAAGCTCGGAAAAATTTTTTGCATGTGCTGTGCACATAATCACACAAAATTGCTTGTGGAGATTCTGTACTGATCTTAACTTGTTCAGCAATCTTTCGTACGGTTAAAAAACGATCTTTTTCAAAATTATCAAAATTTCCACCTTTTAAACAACAGCCGCAGTTTAAGCAGTTTAAGACCTCCCAGAATCCTGGTCACTCACTGACAATCAAACACTTTTGGATCATTTAAAACCCTCCCTAATTTGTGTATCCCCTACAGCATCGTCTCCAAACACTTATTGAATCTCACGAATTCTTTCAATTATTAATTCACCAAGCTTTTAAAAAAATGAATGCAGAACCTTAGCTAAAGTCGTTCAGTTATGTTTAGAGAAATTTAAACAGACGGACTCGCGTATAACAGTACCTCACTCGACTGACTGCAGGAAACGACTGGTTTGCTGGAACAAAGGGAGAGTGAGCGAGTGAATATTAATGTCGCACTGTTCAGCTACATGAGGGCTTTGGCGACGGACCACGCAATTTAGCACCATGGTCTAGTGACGTGGGCGACACATGAGCTGTTATCCCCTCTCCTAACTACCACACCAACGGGAGGACGTTTCAGCTCTCGACAGATTTAACGTGCATCGCTGCCCTACACGGCGGGTCTTTAGTGTGGTACTGGACTTGAACTCGAGACAAGGCCAGCCACGTCCAATACCTTTACCACTCGGCTACCGTGGCCACGGAAGAAAGAGGAGAAATTCAAGCATGTGCATTAAACTGTCACTTTGGGGCCGTGGTAGCCTAGTGGTCAAGGAAATGGACTCGTTGCCGGTGTGTTATGAGTTCGTGCCCAGTATTGCTGGAGACCTGCCGTGTAGGGAAGCGTTACACTTTAAATCTGTCGAAAGCTTAAACCTCCTTCCATTGGTGTGGTGTGGTAGTTGGGTTAGGAGGTTCCAGCGCAATTGTCGTTTTGGTCGCCTAGACCATGGTTCAACATTACGAGGTCCGCCGCCAAACGCTCTCGAGTAGCTGAATATTGTCTGATGTATTCACTCACTAGATTGTTTCCTTACACTGTGCATGGTGGTGCCGTTTAAGAGTCTCTACTGTGCTTGGGCAAACTCAAGGACGGATACTTTTTGTATTCTAATTCACTTAGATACTTTCGTATTCTAACTAAAAAGAATTATTATTCCTCATGTATTCTTTCTGTTGATATGTTCATTTTAAACAGGGAAACGTTTGATTTGTATTTATAAAATGAATATGACATTTAATATTTAAAAGAAATCTCTTTTTCTCTCTCTTTATACATACATAAGCAAATTCAGTATTTTCAAATTATAAACTGTTTCAGCGTTCAGAAAAACAGAGATGAGTGACTTCAGAACAAATTGCGCAAAAACGAAAAAGTAACCACTTATTATTGTGAAATTTTAAGAATAAGTTCAATAAGACTTTTCTTACGTTAAACATTGTATGCAATATTTTCCTTATATCTTGTAAGGTTTCTTTGGAGAGACCAATTGCTTATTTAAAAGCGAATCAACCATATATGTTTCTTCTTCAACTCGTGCATTTGATTTATGAAAATAATATGCATTTCCTTCACAAGATTGAGTAACTTTCAAAATAGGTTAAATTCTTGTTTCCATGTGAATACAATAATTTGTTATCCATTAATATGAAAATTGTGACGTAAGATTTGTGCATGTTGTTGTACATGAAAAATTTAGATAAATTTTCAAATTTGATTATTGGATAAATATACACAAACATATAAAAAAAATCTAAAAATGTTTTTCAAAACTCAAACTTTATTAAACATGTAATTTTAAATCAAGTACATTTTATTTACCTACGTGCATTATAATTTAAAATATACTTTTTAAAACACTTTGCAAAATTTTCAACAGCGAAGCGCATGAGCTAATTATCTAGAATTTTAAAATTTCATTTATCATGTAACTAAGACGTTACAAAAATTTATGAACCGATTGGCTGGAAGCACGTTTAGTCGTTATCATTTGACATCACAGTCACTTGATAACGACGTCAGGTCTAATACATTTTAGGTTTGAGGAGGTTTGAAGTCCTTGGATTGGCATGATGTAGAATGAACCTCATTTAGAGAGTGCTCGTTCAGAAGACTTTAACAGTAAACATAAACACGATTTACATTCCTGGAGCCCGCCGCCAATACATCAGACGCATTTCCTTAACTTAAAATTCATAAATAATCAACCATTCAATAATTTTAATGATGCATGATGAGAAAAACATCGATAAAAGTGTTTTTAAAGCAAAATTTCAGTTATTATTGCGCATTAATATCTTTTATATTGTAACGTTGATCGGTGTTCATGGATTTTATGCAAATCAGTCGCAAATAGAAAGGCAATTCTTCAGAAACGATGGGAATTTATTTTCAAAAGACAATGTTTGAAATACAGGATTAAACAGAAATATTCGCAGAGTAAGTTTTAAAAGGTCTTCAACAGCTCTCAGACACAGCTATCAGTATCAAAATACAAATATTCCAAAGATTATTTTCAAGCAATCACTTTTTCCATAGCTGAAGTTATCACTAATCACTGGTCGACTTTTCAACAGTCAAGGCAAGATTTCCAATCGCTAGTCAAAATAATGCTAACTTAGTTGCGCTGTAGCTGTCTGTAGCTGGGCATATGGCTTGCAGAGCGAGCCTCCATCCCATATCATAGTTGTTAATGGTGCCTGGTGGAGAAGGAACAACCTGATTGGTCGTTGGTACGTGGAGAGAGGGTGATCGTGGAGAATTCAATGTAGAGCAAGAGGACTGTATCGTTGATTTTAATGTTCTATCTGATAAATGAAGATCCCTTGTTATACGAAAAAGTTTATTCATGACTAAACATCACTTCACAGCACTAAACTCACACACACACACACAAACATTTAAGAACTACACTGCTCCAAACAATTAAAGGATATTGTAAGTTTTATATAAAATAAGGATATAAGCGAATTTTTTTTGCCGAAAATGGAAGAAGAGAATCACAAATGCAAATTTTTCTGATTTTCAAACTGTGAAGTATGCTAATTTTGAGTTGGACCTCAAAAACGTCGTTTCAGCGCAGTGAATGAAATTTGATTTTCAACTGAAATGAAGACAAGTATGATCGGCATTCTGTGACTGCTTTGTTTCGATGAGTACAATGTCTCAGCGAAGTCATTTAACCGATTCAGAAGCTTGGAGAGTTGTTGGTAGGTTAGAAGGGGGCACAACTCAAGCCGAAGTAGCGCATGCCATTGTAGTGTCACAAAGTGTGATTTCCAGGATTGACAACCATTTTTTGGAGACTGGAAGTGCAGGCCGAAGACCAGGACAAGGTCGTATAGACGAGCAACAACGTCCAATGAAGATCGTTATTTAGTGTTAACGGCTCGGAGACACCGAAATATGAACGCTACTCTTCTCCAACAACACTTTCGCTCTGTTACTGGCACCACGGTTTCAACTCAGACTGTCCGAAACCGGCTCCATGGTGTAGGTCTGTATGCTCGCCGACCGATGGTATGTGTTAGACTAACATTAAAGCATCGTCGTGACAACGGGGAGTGGACAACAGAGCATGTCAACTGGAGGAGAAATGAATGGAGCAATGTTCTTTTTTCTGACGAGTCCCGTTTTTTCTTCATCCGGATAATAGGCGTATTTTCATCTGGAGGGACCGTGGCAGTAGGAATAATTCTGCGTTCGTGCACGAAAGTGTCAGATTTTTGGCGATGGGGGAATGTTGGGGTATGGTGGCATCTCCATTGACGGGCGCACAGACCTCTACATCATTCGAGATGGACCTCTGACTACTCGCCGATATAGGGATGAGATCCTCAGACCTATTGCAGTCCTTTACGCTGCAGCAAACGGAGATTACTTCATTTTAATGGACGATAACTGCAGGCCACATCATGCTAACCTTGTGACAAATCTATACGGAACTTTATCACTAACCTTCTGAGACGTCCTTTTTAGGGAAATTTAATTCCCTACCTATTTCCAATCAACTCCAAAAAGCGGACAGGATTCCTCGTTATATGCAGATTAGATAAATTATTTAAGTCAAACGGAATAGTAAAGTTAGAGCAG